TATTATGGCTTATGACAGATATGCTGCTGTATTGAAACCGCTGCATTACAACACCATCATGAGCCCCAGGGTCTGTATTACAATGGCATCCTCAGTCTGACTGCTGGGCTTCCTTGCACATGTTTTGTCAATAGTACTGGCAAGCAATAGGCCATACTGTGGCTCTAATTATGTCCTCCACTGTTTCTGTGACTATCCCACTATAATGTCATTAGCATGTGGTGAGATTTCAGTACAAGTCAATTTTTCCATGTTTCTTGTCCTGATTTCTATCTATGTGCCTTTCATGTTCATCCTGTGGTCTTACTACAGAATTGTGTGGTCAGTGATAAAAATGAAAACTGTGAAGAGCCGTAAGAAAGCCTTCTCAATGTGCTCTTCACACATGACTGTGGTCTTCCTGTACTATTTGTCCACTGCCATGGTGTATATTGGACTGCGAATGGAAAATATCCCTCCTGAAGGACGCATCTTCATTGGAGCGCTGAGTTACTTCATTACCTCTTTAGTCAACCCCATGATTTACAGCTTAAGGAATAAACAATTCAAGGCAGCAGCTCAGCGATACTTCAGGCTCCAAACTATTTTTCCTAACAGAGGAAATAATTTTCTCAGCAGCACTAAATGAGCCTCCTTTTCACGAATTTCAATTCCCAATCTGCTTAAGGGGTTCAGTTAACACTTCTGTACAATTCCTGGCTGGCACAGTGTTACTTTCTGACCTAAGTAGTCAATTGAACCATTTTTCTCATATTTACAAATATACTGATATAAATAAGAAACGCAACATTTTCTGTAATGAGAATGCTATAGTTATAACTTATGTACTTTCACAAAAAGTTTTCAATTTGTTTTAAGCTCTGACCAGCAGTACAGCTTTTGAAGTGAGGCATTGCAACTTGTCAATCACACGAAAGCTCGTTAGCTGCACTTTTACCCAACGAGGATCAGGTGGGACAAAGCCTGATCAGGTCACCTAAAAAGGCCTTAATTCAAAGGTCACTGCAAGAAATAGGCAACACTAAGTCAGTTTTCTGTGCATTCCAAAATGCCTCTAATGTCAACAGAAGCAAGGGAGAGGGCAGTTCACATACTGCAGGAAGACATGTCTTGTGTCAGCGTTGCCAGACACTATGGAGTAAGCTGCTCCACTGTGTTCTGACTGCAGAGCAGATTTCAGCAGACCAGCAGGACAGATGACCATCCAAAATCCAGTCACCATCGAGTGACCACACCAGAGCAGGTCAGACACAAATCAGACTGGTCCATCTGAGAGATCTTTTCAGATCTGCCACTTGTACTGTTGCTGAATCTGCTGGCAGACACAATTCCCACATCAGTGACAGGACAGTGAGGCTCCCTGCGCCTGGCCTTAGAGCAGGACGACCTGTCAGTGGTCCCCTGCCCACACCTCATAGAAGTCATACCTGACTAGCTTGGTCCAGACGTAAGCTGCAATGGACTTGTCAGCAGTGGCATCAGGTTCTCTTCATGGCTGAGTCACTCTTCAGCCTGTTTAATGCAGAGGGGAGGGCCAGAGTGTGGAGGAGGAGGTGTTGGGTTTCTTTTTTCCATCAGTATATATACTTTTGTATTGATAAGGGAACTGTAATTCTTATTTCAGTTTTTTACCCAAAATGTTAACTTCTTTATAGCTACAGCTACCCTGAATTGTGGGTAGGAATATTCTGATATGGACTTAATGAAATGATTTGACTGACTATGTTATGTACAACTTGGGTGGAACAAAATACCAAAAGAGGGTTCCAGGAGTTGCATTTGAGACCCATTTCTCCACATACATTACACAACTAAACATTTTTTGTTTGTGGTCCCATTAAGACCTGATTTTTTTCTCTGAAAGGGTGAAACAGTGTTTTCTCTAGATTGTTGGTCATTTGTTGTGTTTTTGCTGATTAAAATTTCTAAATGTAAACTCCCATCTACACTGGCATAATGTAAATAGTACATTATATAAAAAATATTTTTAAAAAAGAAAGATGAAAGCTGTAAATCTTTTTTCTTAGTTTTGTATATGTTGTATTTATAAATTCTTTCATTGTTAAATAAAAGTTTAAAAAACATTTTTTGGCACATGTAGGGGTTTTGTGCATTTACTGGGACAATTATTAATTGTAGCAGTAAATCACAAAATGATTCTTTGATGGCTATTAGAAAACCGACTTTGCGGGATAACTCAGCAACGCACAAACACGGATACTAATACACGAGAATACATTTATTAATATATAAAATGGTCATATAAACACATCTTATAGTGACAGATCTTATAGTGAGGGTTAGCAGACTAAAAAAGGTATATATTCAATCATGAAGAGTTACAAACCAAGAGAGGTATACATTTAGCATACAATTCATTTATACCGTTTCATTAATGAGCTTTGATTACAACTTCTACACTAGATACTTGCAAACAAGTATGTCACTCATAGGAATTAAATTGATATAAACTCAGGTTGAGGTAGCAATTGAATTCTCAAGCTGCAATGCAGAATGTTGAACACTCATCCAATCTATGTGGATTCAGATCACCCGCGGACACAAAGGAACAGCGACAGACTGTTGCTGCATCAAATCGGTGTCCTCTGGCCCGGTGCCAGGCAGTCCTGGTACGACGTGAGGTGTGGGAGAAGAAGGGAGAGATTCTTGCTGCGGTGCGCTGGCAGTGGGCTCTCTGAAGACCGGCTAGTTAGTCTTGGCTGAACTAGCAAGAGTTTGTACACATGAAAAGTAACTGCGGGTCCAAGCAAGTCACACTCTTTAGACAGGAAGAAGACCGGTTCATTCATGATGTAGCGCTAGTCTTGAATCCTGAGATTCAGCTGTGGACAGTTCTGACCGTAGTTCAATCGTTGATCAGTTGAGTGTTCATGGTGGGGTACAGGTGGTTCATGAGGCTTGCTGCTGGGCTTACCTCGGGCGGATCCTTTGGTTACGCGTTGGCAACCTCTGTTCTCGACTCTGAGAACTAAGTTAAGTCCTGGCACTCGGACACACTGGCCGTCACTTGATTGTCCGAGCTGAGTCTGAGAATGTCCTGGAGGGGGCATCTTCTGGACCCTGTTCTGCCTCTTTTATCTGGAGGAACTACGGTCGTTCACTGGTTGAAAGTTCCGCAAGCATTCGAGACCCACGTGGGGTTACCCTGCCCTACCAGTTCCTGATTAGCTGATTGAGGTGGAATATGAGTAACAATGTTCTCTGACCTTAGGGTTGTAAACCACCTGGGATGAGACTCTCCCTTGGAATCTCTCAGACAGTAAGGCGCCAGAGATTACCATTTATTAGTGTGGCTGGAGAATGTCAGCCTTGGGAGTTGTTCCTTATCAGGAAACTCTAATGTTTTAAAGCTGGTCCAAGCCAGGGTTCTGATCTCTGTTCCTTGTGCGGCTGCTAGACAGCACCCTGGACAGCACAGTCACAGACAGAGCTCTCAGACATGGCCCAGGCAATGGAATTCTGGGAACAGGGAAAGCTTCACTGGCCCCCTGGAAAGCAGCCCTGGACATATCTCCAAAAAGAGATATGGTAAGCAGTGTTTGGAGGACAATGGAGTGAATGGAATGTCAGGAAGCAGTCAGGAGAGAACTCTGGAGCTGCACAGCTGAGTTCAAGGTTGGATAGTACCAGTCCAGGGTGGGGACTAGAGCTGTCCTGGATAGCAGCTGAATCAGTAGCTACTGTATATGGAAGCAGTCTGATTCAGCCTCCGCTCTGGCCTGGAACAAATGTTGAGAACTGGACTGTGAGATAGCTGAATCAGAAATTAGATAGGAGCAGTCCGGAGTGAACACTAGGTCCACACAGAGTGAAAGCAGATTCAATTTACATATTTACAATCTGGAGTCAGCACTGGAAGAGCACGAACTGGCTGCTCAAGAATGGAAGCATCTTCATGAGTGTAGGGTGCTTCAGCAGGAGGCTCACCCCAGAATAGAGCCAGGGAGCTGCGGAGAAGGGGCCAGCTAGTTAAAAGTCTAGAGTTCCAGGTTAGATAGGCCTGCATGTAAAAACATCTCTGAGGATTCAGTCGAATGAAACCAGGCAGAGGGGAAAGTGGAGTGTAGTGAAAGGAGCACTGCCAGATAAAGGTGAATGACGATACGCTGCTGGAGAGACGCTTCTGGAATACAAAGGGAAAGGGAGAATGGAATAATTGGTGGTCTGTGATTAAAGAGCACAGAACAAAAGAGGGTCCGATTACAGCAATAAGCTATGGAAAACTGAGCCACCGTATGAATGCTCTGGTTTCCCTTGACAACAGCGGGCCCTGGATAGACACAACAGAATGCAAGATGTAACACTTAAGTTCTCTGCTTGTCGAAGAGGCTCCAGTTATTTGGCAAAATATACCATCAATAACCATATTTCTGATAAAAACATATAGTTCTTTTTTTATTTTTGTGTACCAAAATACCCTGAATCAGTAGTAATTATAGTATGTGCTCCTCAATGCACATAACAAATTTTAATGTTATAACAAACCTGGTTATTTATTGTCTACCTATTTTTTTATATCAGTCTCATATGTTAATCATATTTTTTTCAAAGACAGATTACTATTCTTTTACTATTGTGAGCTCAACTTTATGAAAAAAATAGATATTGGAATAGTAGTTTTACTCTCAATTATAATGTGAATATACTGTAGATGTGTTACACTCACATTTCCATTGGACAAACAACTTCTTCAATAGTTTTGAACTTCCCACAGAAGATGAGCTTGGATTGGTGTGTTACAGTGGCCTAATATGCCTTAACTCGCCTGCTGTGTGCCTCAGATGTCCTGGCATACAGAGAGAGAGCTTTGCTTAGCTTCTTACCTTTTCTGAAGACAGTTTTTCAAAGAGGTTGGAAGGAAGACTCAGCACATGTAAACCAAAATGTGAAATAGTATCTAGCGACTGAAATGTGAAAATTACCCTGTTCAAAATTTCATCTACTGTATGTCATTCGATCATAAGAATGTATTTTCCATATTTCACAATAAGGTACAGGCATATACCTAAAAAGAAACCACAGCCTTTGCACAAAATGCAAAAAAAAGTCCTGGTTACAGTACAAACAGGGGGAACATCTGACCATACCACAGGGTAATATCACAGTTTTTCTAAGTATTATTATGTGAATTTTGGGCACAAATGTCACCTCATCTCAGACTCTAAAGAAGTTAGAGTTAATAAGAATGCTTAATGAGAATTAATTCAACCCTCCTGAGGAGGACTCAGCTTGATCGCCGTTAGGAAGCCTATGCCCTCAAGCCACAGACATAGGTCTTGGATGGATTTCCTGGTTTTGGACTTTGGACTGCACCCCAGATTCCCCTTTTTGGACTGTCTGAATCTCTTTGCCATCACCACGCCTCCCTGAGCACCCGATCACCATAGTCACACCCCCCTGTCTATCAACCCATGCTCTTCTGATCCTCTTCATCTCCTCCCCTGATGTCCTTCTCCACTTACAGTACTTCTGGATTATACCTTCCATCTTGAACTATGCTTCGTGGGAGCCTGGACCGGTTCCCGTTACACATAGTACACCTGAGAACATGTAGTGCCCTTTATGTTAAACACAGCATTCGCTTTAAAATTTCAACTTTAAACTTTACATTTACTTCTATGTTGACCTAAACAATATACTGTAACTGAACCAAATGTTTTTTGCTGTACCCTTTGTGCCTGTACCCTCTAGTTCACACTTTCTGTCTCCCTGGATTAATAAGAGCTACAGCTACAGCTTTGCACTAATTGGCCTCTGGAGCCACTGTGTAGAGCTGCCTATAAAAGCAGCTGAGATTAGAAAAATAATTTATTGTCCAGTAGGTGTGTCCTATGCAGGAAGAGCACATCATCAAACTTAGGCTCCCGGTATGTGACTCCCTGTACTTTCTGACTGGTAGTTTATCTCTGGTTGGTCTCTCTTGTATTTTCAGATTAGAAATGAAGATGACTCTAGCAATTATGAACTATGCTTCACTACTGTTTGTTATAAAATGTATATACAGTATATATAAATCAACCCAAATATGTTTTATAAGTACATATTCATTAAGCCATTTTAAGTCATATTCACCTTTAATATATATGCATTCTTTTTTTAAGTATTAAAAGTGAAATGGTTTATAGTAGCTAGCAGAGTAGAAATTATGCACTGATATACAGTACAACATTCTGCATGTAATTTACATAACACAAGACAGTGATAAACACAGTCCAATTCCATTGACATGGCTTTATGTTTTGTGTATACTGTCTGTTTGTACTGTACAAATTTTAATTCAGTAAGGTTATATCATAGGGGTTAATCTCTAATTGGACATGTGCAGAACATGCAGAACTCTTCAGTATATGTAATAATGATTTAATCGTATAATGTTTGATATAGTTTTGTTTATGCTTTAGCTTGGTTCATATAATGTGTGTTTCTTTTCCTCTAATTTTTTTTACTTCTGTTATGATACTTGATATACTTGATATAACTAATACCTTATATTTTCATTTAGTTTGAAAATCTGTATGTCTTACATTACACTCAAATGTATTGATTTGGCTTTTTTATCATTGTGGAAATTACGTGGACAAAGTGCAGAAATATTTGGAAAATAGATATACAACAATGGTCTGCTCCTGTTTGTAACTTTCTGTTAAGTTCATCATCATTCTCTTCATAATAAGAATGACAGTTATATTACTGATAATTCCACTAGTTTAATTAATCATTATCAACTTATTAGGAACCAGTAAAACATCCAACCAAGTAGAAGACAGGTGAACAGACTACGCTTCCTTTACACACTATCCTCTTTACTTAAGAAAACAGGATTCAACTGTACTGCTTTTCTTATACAAGGTGGAGAACAAGTGACTCATCACATTGTAGGGACATGTGCAGGAGGCATTTCAATAGTTTTGAGATGTGCAGCTCATCTGGGACTCAAAATCAGGCAAAACTGAACCGTCAATATTTACTGACGTGATATGGCATCCCTAAAAAACAACTTAGAGTAATCCCAAAGATGCAAATGTTCCATGCCCATTCTGCATATGTGTTTTTTTCACACCTGATAACCTGTACTTTATGTGAATACAAGAGTCAAATAAAATCTTTGTATCATATATGGTTTATGAACATTCC